TTCACCCTAGATAATATACATGTTTCGATGCTGTTCTCTCGAAACATCCCACCCTCGCCTTCTCCCACAGAGACACAGATGTTTTCTGTTTTATCTCTCTTTTTTTGGTCCTCTGTTGCCATTTCCAGTTCTCATTTTTTCTAGAATAATTTTTCATATTCTATTTTGACTTATTCATCATAGACATAATAAGCAAGCTTGACCCATTGGCCAAGTCTGGCCAACCACCTATATTGTAAATAAAGTTCTATTTACAGCTTTATCCACTCATTAGTCCACTGTGTCTAGGTAATTATAGTTGTGACAGATACTGTATAGTACACAAATATATCCTGTCTCTTGATAGAAACTATCAATCTCTTATTTTTAGTGTTTTTCAGTATTTCTCTTCGTAAAACATTTTTCATATGTTCTGTAGTGAGATTACACATACTGACACAATCACATACACACGTTTGTTTACCAGCATTTTACTATTTCAAGTAGAATATAGAAATGTTAATACCATATTTATTTTAGATCTGAAATTATGTGTATAATCATAAAATGGTAAATTTTATAGTATAGTTTGCTTAAATATTACTTCCAAAATATTAATAAGCATATCATACTAAATTATAATTTTTATTTTCAACCCTGAAACATAATTTTAAAAAATCAAATGAAAAATAGTCTATTTTATCTACCCATGTAAGTACTTTTTCTGTTTCTCTTTCTTCACTACTGATGTTACAGGTTTTCTTTTATTATCATTTTCTTCCTTGTCTGAAGAGCTTCCTTTAATCATTGATTTAAAGCTTGGTTACTGGCAACATGTCTCTTAATTTTCCTTCATTTTAGAATGCCTTTATTTCATCTTCATTCTTTAAGGATATTTTTGTTGGATGAAAGTCGTTTTCAGCACTTCAAAACTATTGTGTTACATTCTCTGTCTGTCATTATTTCTAATGAGAACTCCTATTAATCATTGTTCCTCTGTAAACAATCTGTTGTTTTCCTTTGGTTGACTTCAAGACACTTAAAATTTTTCTCTGGCCATCTAGTTATGATGTGTCTGATCATGCATTATTTTGAGTTTATTGTTAGAAGTTTTGTGAATCTATTAAATATGTCGATTTGTGTCTTTTGCCAAATTGAGGAGATTTTCAGCCATTGTTTTTCTTCAAATATATTTCAGCTATGCACTTTTTCTCTTTTTCTGGGCCACTAACGATATTAATGTTAGGTTTTTGTTGTTGTTGTTGTTGTCATTGTCCCACTGTTCCTGTATTTCTGTTAATTTTTTCAAAAGCTATTCCTCTCTGTTTTGAGGTTGGATAATTTATACTAATCAGTCTTTAAGTTCACTGATACTCCCTTCTGTCATCTCTGTTTTTTGTTTGTTTGTTTGTTTTACTAAATTCATCTACTTAAGTGTTTTTTCCTATTATTGTATTTTTTATCTTCTGAAGTTTTCATTTGTTTTTTTTTATATTATCTGTTTCTTTGATGAGATTTTCTATTTCTTAATTTGCTTTAAGAGTTTTCACAATAGCTCACTGGAGCATTTTCATGATGGTTGCTTTAAAATCCTTATCAGGAAATGCACCTTGGTTTTGCCTTCTGTTGATTGCCATTTCTGAATAGAGTCAAGATAGTCCTGGTTCTTGGTATGAGAGTAATTTTGGGCTGTATTCAGAATATTTCTGAGAATTGTCATGAGGCACTGATTTTTCTTTACATTTTCCATTTCTGAAGACTGTTTATTTTCTAAAATACACATTCTAGGCTAGTTTAATGGGCCTTTGCTCACAACCTGATTTCTTTTCCATGGCCTTTTTAATGATATTCTTTGACACCTTGGACATTACAACATTCGTAGGAAGTCTGGATTCTGCTGCTTTTCTCTGTCGAGGGTTGATTTTTGTTTGCTTGTTTTGTTGTTCATTGCTCTTCTTGGTTAAAGTCAGAACAGCAACTGAGCCTCACAGATGACAGCTCTGGCCTCAGCTGAAGCTCTTCAGTTGTGTTTGAGCCTGCTAATTGTATGAGTGTCTCAGGAATCAGCGAGAAATGTGGGAGACAGACTTAAGATTATCTTCTTTTTGAAGTTTTCTGCTTGTGTATTTGACAGTCATAATTTCCTGATATTCACATTTTATATTTTCCAGGCTAGAAATAGTAAAGATTTTGCCCTGAGTGCCCCATGAACCCACATACCATGTCCATTATACTTGGCCTCAGTTTAAAAGTCGCACAAACTGTCTCTTTTTAGTTTCCTTTGAGCATAGACCCCCGACCAATTCTAAAAGCTTCTGTTAATCCCAGGTGGACTCCACTTCTTCACCACCTGAAGTAACTATTATATTCTATATTATAGATTTTAAGTCTCTATTGAAACTTGACCATATTCATTTTTCTTCTCCATTTTTTCCTGTATTTGTGTACATGCAAACATACACACCCCACAACTCTTCCTACCCACCCCAGCTTTATTGGCTTCCCTGACAGCTCAGCTGATAAGAATCCACCTGCAATGCAGAAGACCCTGGTTCAATTCCTGGATAGGGAAGATTCCCTGGAGAAGGGATAGGCTACCCATTCTAGTATTCTTGGGCTTCCTTTGTGGCTCAACTGGTAAAGAATCCACTTGCAATGCAGGAGACCTGGGTTCAATCCCTGGGTTAGAAAGATTCCCCTGGAGAAGGGAAAGGTAGCCACTCCAGTACTCTGGCCTGGAAAATTCCATGGACCGTATAGTCCATGGGGTTGTAAAGAGTCAGACACAACTGAACAACTTTCACTTTCACTTTCTAGCTTTATTGAGACATAATTGACAAATAAAATACTTACATAATTAAAGTGTACTGCGGAAAATTCTTAAAGAGATGGGAATACCAGACCACCTGACCCACCTCTTGAGAAACCTATATGCAGTTCAGGAAGCAACTGTCATAATTGGACATGGAACAACAGACTGGTTCCAAATAGGAAAAGGAGTATGTCAAGGCTGTATATTATCACCCTGCTTATTTAACTTATGTGCAGAGTACATCATGAGAAACACAGGGCTGGATGAAGCACAAGCTGGAATCAGGATTGCTGGGAGAAATATCATAACCTCAGATATGCAGATGACACCACCCTTATGGCAGAAAGTGAAGAAGAACTAAAAAGCCTGTTGATGAAAGTGAAAGAGGAGAGTGAAAAAGTTGGCTTAAAGCTCAACATTCAGAAAACAAAGATCATGGCATCCGGTCCCATCACTTCATGGGAAGTAGATGGGGAAACATTGGAAACAATGAGAGACTTTATTTCTGGGGCTCCAAAATCACTGCAGTTGATTTTAAATCACTGCCATGAAATTAAAAGACGCTTACACCTTGGAAGGAAAGTTATGACCAACCTAGACAGCATATTAAAAAGCAGAGACATTACTTTGCCAACAAAGCACCACCTAGTCAAGGCTATGGTTTTTCCAGTAGTCATGTATGGATGTGAGAGTTGGACTATAAAGAAAGCTGAGCACCGAAGAACTGATGCTTTTGATCTGTGGTGTTGGAGAAGACTCTTGAGAGTCCCTTGGACTGCAAGGGGATCCAACCAGTACATCCTAAAGGAAATCAGTCCTGAATATGCATTGGAAGGACTGATACTGAAGCTGAAACTCCAATATTTTGGCCACCTGAAGAGAAGAGTTGACTCATTTGAAAAGACCCTGATGCTGGGAAAGATTGAGGGCAGGAGGAAAAGGGGATGACAGAGGATGAGATGGTTGGATGGCATCACTGACTCAATGGACATGAGTTTGGGTAGACTACGGGAGTTGGTGATGGACAAGGAGACCTGGTGTGCTGCAGCTCATGGGGTCACAAAGAGTCGGACATGACTGAGCAACTGAACTGAATTGAACAGTGTGATAATTTGATACTAATTATGGAATGATTCCAAAAACTAATCAATATATCCATCAATCCACTTTATTTATGAAAATGCTTAAGACCCACTGTCTTGACAGATTTCAAGTATATAATGCAGTCTCATCAACTGTAGTCACCATGCCTTATACCATGCACATACACAAACACAATATTTTTATTTAGTGTATGAATTAAATTTTACTCATGATAATTTGTTTTGATATAGAAAAACTGGGAAGTTCTAAACACTTTTTTGTAATTTTTAAGTTCTAAAAATTTTGTAATTATTAAATAAATTTAATAAATGCATTTATTTACATAAATAAACTATATTTATTTTTGAAATGAATACAATTTACATTCCATTCATATGAAATGCTACTCTTCACTACTGTCAGTCTTTTTGGGCTGACATCTCACTCCAGATTTCTTTACCATGGCCTTGCCTGTGTCTTGAACTTTCATCCTGTCATTTCTTTACTTCACTCATTATACTACAGCCTTTGAACAGCTTCCCAAACAAGTTTGCTACCACTATTCATAATGGTGGGTCATTTCCCAAACTTTGTATCTCATCCTAAGCATCAATGCCACAAATAGCCTTTTCTAACTATCTGAACTATACAGTTATACCCCTCCTCAGAATTCTCTGTTGAAGGGTTCCGTTTCTTTAGAGCACTTTTCATGCTTTCTTTATATCTGGTAGGTTTGTTGTTACTTTCCAACTAGTTTTCTTTCCCCTCTTCTGTAAAATATACTCCAAGTGTGGACAAAGTCCCTTCTTTTCATACATGCCACTATATTCTCATCTTTTACCATAGTGCCTGACCCATGTCTATATTGAACTATATTTGTTAATTGAATGAATTGATTTAATAAAAAAGTTAAATGTGTTTGATTGCACTACCTCATCTCATGATTTTTAATAAATTAATTAATATGGATATTCAGATTTATGATTTATCAAAATAAGTATAAATATGGTCAACATGGAAAAGTATTAAAATATAAAATTTTATAGGAACAAAGCTCTTTTGATGTATTACTTGCTTTCATTTTCTTCTTACATATTGGTTTTCTCTTCAACTTTCTTTATTTCAGTATCCAGGCACAATAACACTAGAGGGATTTTCAGTCATTATAGCTCAACTACTTGGCCTTAAAATAGGGTTAGCATATGATGACATCCAGGAGTGTTCCTGTCCAACAGCTAAGTGCATAATGAACCATGAAGCAATGTAAGCCTTGTTTTTCCTCTCAAATTAATGTCATGCATATATTTGTGCAGTTGGTTACAAGATGTGATGAATTTATTTTTTATACTCAATCCCACATCAAAAATTGGGAGGGAATGTTGTGCACAAGGAGAAATCATACTATTGAATTTGTCCATGTGACACAAGACTCCAGAAAGTGGCGGATCCCATAATAATGGAATATTCACTGAAGGGAATTTGAGGGAAAATGTAAAGATTTATGAGGGCTATGAAATATTGTATTCACACAGATACTTTTGCTGTTTATATTGTTGTTGTATCTGTTGTTCAAAGCAAAATCACCCTTGGCAATGTAACATGAAACTGGTCGCTTGGGCTATTATTTGAGGGGAAAAAAAAAAAAAGAAAAGATTTGAAGAAGAAAGTAGATGTCCTTATTTGCAGATATTATGATTGACTACCTATGCAAAGGCAGCAGAATCAGTCAGTGTACCATCAGAACAACAATATCAGAAAATTCATCAGGGTGATCAATCTTGAAAACTAGCCTGTGTGCCAGCACTAAGGAAATAGATGACTTACTATAAAATGTCTAAATTTTCCAGAAGAAGTTTATAAGTTCAGTGCAATTGCAGTCAATATTTTAGGTTATTTTTAAGGAACTTGATGAGCTCTGGGGGAGGCAGTAAAATGGAGATAATAGACATGGATGACCTTTTCGTGATTATGGGGTAGAATTTATAATCAAAGGAGAGATTTTATTGATGGGAGCTATGATGTACGTATAGATCGATCAAAATAAAAGAGGAGGAAAAGATGATGTTGGATATAAGGAACACAGGAGCATAGTCATGGAGTAATGTAGGAGAGAATGTAGGATCTAGTGCTTAAGTAGAAGGGCTAACTTTTATTAAAGCTGGATAAATTCAGTTATTGTGATAGAATGTTAGGAGAGAGTAGATTGAAACATATACATTACCATCTGTAAAACAGATAGCCAGTGGGAATTTGCTGTGTTAATGCAGGGACTCCAAAGCTGGTGCTCTGTGACAACCTAGAGCGGTGAGTTGGGGAGGGAATTGGGAGGGAGGTTTAAGAGGAGGGGACATGTGTGTGCTTGTGGCTCATTTGTGTTGATGTATGGCAGAAATCATCACCATATTATAAAATAATTATCCTCCAATTAAAAACAAAATTTTAAAAAATTAGCCATGATTGACATTGTCTCCACCAAAAAGCATTAGTTTTTTGTTTGGAGCATCTTACAATTCATATCATTATATATGGTGCATTGTTTAGATGTGGTTTTATTAGCTAGGTTTATTTAACCTGAGGATTACTTCATTTTAGAGTTTCCAGTGGTGTAAAGATTTTTAGCAACTGTAGCATGCATGAATATAAATATTTTGTTTCAACATCTGAAGCTCAGTGTCTTCAGAAGTTTTCAATATTGCAACCATTCTATCAAAATCAATCAGTGTGTGGTAATGGGATTTTGGAAATGCATGAAGAATGTGACTGTGGCAATGAACAGGTGAGTGATTAAGACTGAAATCTGAGCACAATGTTTCTAATAAGCAACCATGGTATATATGGAATTATATGTGCAACTAAGTCTTCAGTAGAATTAAGTTATAAAAATGAGGATAAATTAAGATGTATGAATCATTTCCACATACCTCTTCAACTGAGAAGATGAGTAGTCATGAAATCTGGGTTTGTACATACCATTCCCAATTAAGCCAGCAGAGAATTTTTGAGTATGTATACTAAATGAAATCTTTTTTAGCCTAAATCTTATGACTTCAGTCTCTGTTTTCTTTATAAACTTCTGAATTTGGTCCAGCATTTTTCTGTCTTTTGTCATTGCGAGAATGTCTAAACATTATAATGGGTTTTTCTTAATTATTCTCAAATATTCCTTTATTTCCAGGTTTCAGGATGATCAAAATTTGTTCTTTATAATCCTTATAAAGATAAACATGGAATCTGTTATACTATATCTCCATCAACCAAATGTGCAGTTAACACTATTCTCAACTGATAGGACCAGATATTTAGTTTGTTATAGTATCATTATTTTCTAATATTTAACAATCCCCCCATTTAAATAAAATAAAGTTTCTTCATGATTACTCCCCCAGCAGCTATATGACTTTCTTATCCACCAACAAAAATAGCTAACCACTACTCATTTATGTAACTTAAATCCTTACAAATTCTCTTAACCATCTACCATCTCCTTATATGTATGTATGTATGTGTGTGTGTGTGTGTGTGTGTGTGTGTGTGTGTGTGTGTGTGTGTGTGTGTATGTTTTCTGACTATCTCAGATTTTCCAGTGTCATCTTAGTTTTTTGACAAATAGCACTATTCACATCTTGAATTGACCTACCCCTGAATATGTGCCAGTTACTTGACAAATCTGATTATTTTTAATGAAAGATAAAATGAAGCATCATAATCTAGGGCTAAATCTACACAATGTGAGCTTCCACAGCTGCAGGCTACAGATAGACATCTGATAACTACAGCATATGCTGACAGTGCTCTACCATATTTCCTTGGCACTGGTTATTCCTGCAGCATGTTTTTGCTTCATGTACCTGATACTTTGTGTTGTAGTGTTTGTTCTGCCCTCAATAGAGTAGAATACTTGGGCAGTTATCAAGGAGAACTTGATGCACTCAGGACTAGCAATCAGTCCTCAGATAATTAAGATTGTGGATAATGTCCCCAATTGTTTGCTCTGCATGAGGAAATTCTCTAAAGCATGCTCTGCATCAGAGTTCTTCAAACTATAGCCAATGGACCAAATTCAGCTGCCATTCCCTTTTGTAAATGGTACTTTATTGGAATGCAGCCATGCTTATATATTGGCATGTTGTCTATGGCTGTTTTTATGCTATAACCATGGAGTTGAATAGTTGCAACAGAAACTGTATGGCATAGCATTTCTACAAAACTGAAACTATTTGCTGTTTCATCCTTTACAAAAAATGTTTTCTGTCCCCAACTCTGTATCATTTCCCAGAGTTACTTGTGGGATATTTTTTATTTTAACTCTTTATTTTGTATTGGATGATAGCCAATTATCAATGTTGTGATGGTTTCAGGTGAACAGTGAAGGGATTCAGCTATATATATATATATATATATATATATATATATATATATGGGTATATATATATATACCCATTCTCCCCAAACTCCCCTCCTATCCAAGCTGCCACATAACATTGAGCAAAGTTCCAGGGGCTATACAGGAGGTCCTTGTTGGTCATTCATTTTAAATATAGTGGCGTGCACTGACAACCATAAGTTGGTTCTCTAAGTCTGTGAGTCTCTTTCTCTTTTGTATGTAAGTTCATTTGTATCATTTCTTTTTAGGTTCTACATATCAGGAATGTCATATGATATTTCATCTTCTATGTCTGACTTACTTCACACAGCATTGCAGTCTCTAGGTCCATCCATGTTGCTGCAAATGGCATTCTTTCATTCTTTTTAATGGCTGAGTAATATCCCATGGTGTTACAATCCCACTGCTGGGCAAATATCCAGGGAAAACCATAATTTAAAAAGATACATGCACTCCAATGTTTGTTGCAGCCCTTTTTACAATAGCCAAGGCGTGGAAGCAATGTACATGTCCATCGACAGAGAAATGGATAAAGAAGATGTGGTATTTATATATGCAATGAAATGATACTTGTGAGATTTAGCTTTATCTTACAGAAGCCATAACCAGCTCACAAATTTACGTGTGTTGGCTTGCTTCCCTTCCCTAATATCCCATGCCAGTGCTTTGGTGTAGGCAGAATGGACCTTCAAATACATCTGTTCTCAAATCCCTGGAATTTGTGGGTATGCAAATTACATGGCAGAAGGTAATTTGCAGAAGTAATTAAGCTTATGGGCCTTAAAGAAGGGACATTATTCTGGATTATCTGGGTGGATCCAGTCTAAGCACATGTGCCCTCAAAAACAGAATGTTCTCCAGGTGAAATCAGAGAGCTGTTACAGAAAGGGGATCAAAAACCCTTGGAAAGTGAGAGGGACTCAAACTGCTACTTCTGGAGGAAGACACATGCAAGAATAAGATGAAATTTTGGTATTTTCTTGAAGAAAAGACTAGCCCTTGGCTGATGGCGACCAAAGCAATGGATGCTTATTCTCCAAATTGTGGTTTTACACTTGTGAGACTGTAAGCAAATAACCTGACCTAGTTTACCTATCTGGAATTCTGACCTATAGAAAGCCTGAGAAAATTAGCTTGTATAATTTTAAGTTTGACCACTAAGTTTGTGGTCATTTGTAACAGCATGAGTAGGGAAATAATACACCTTCCAAATAAATTACTAATATGCATGCTCATTGCAGGCTTTCCAGGTGGCTCAGTGGTAAAGAATCCGTCTGCCAATACAGAAGATGTGCGTTTGAGCTCTGGGTTGGGAAGATCCCCTGGAGAAGGAAGTGGCAACTCACTCCAGTATTCTTGCCTAGAAAACGCCATGGACAGAGGAGCCTGGTGGGCTACAGTCCATGAGACTGCAAAGGGTTGGACACAACTGAGTGAGCACGAGCATCCTTTCATCCAAGATAACCTAGGGCCAGCCTTGATTTGCTGCTAGGTGGAGCCTTGAAGATGGGAAACAATCTGGGCTATAATAAATGAGGTTGTTATGCCAGGACTACCTTAATGGAGCAATACAGGAAGAATCAAAAGTTGAGTAATGGCCATATTTTAATTTAAAAAATTAGCACCTAATTATTTGAGTGGCCCAGAATGCACCCCTTTCACTAAAACAATGAAGAAGTGCATTTCCAAGGAGATTCCAACATTGCTGAAAATCTCAGTGGTAGCTTTCTTCTATAAACTAGGGTTGGTGTCTGGAAGTACCATTATGGAGTTGGGCATTCAATGCCACTAGGGATTGCTGAATTCCAAAATAGCTGAGGCCAAGCAGCTGTGGTTAAGAGAGATCTGGGTGGTCAATGATGAGAATCCTTGATGTATGTAGCTGAAAGCTAACAAGAGGTGAACAAAGGGCTGTTGCCAAATATTACTAATGGAAATTCACAATTCCTTGCTAAATTTATGCAACCAAGCCAGTTTCAGAGCCAGAGCTCATTGTTCAAGTTGAGGTTGAGATCCTACAGTGGCCCAAGTAAGGATAAAAAGCAGCAATTTCCTCAGTGATTCTCCTCCATAGTGACCTCCAGCTGTTTGCTGTAGCTGTTCACCGGGGAGACCCAGATCATTATAGAATGATGAATAGAGAATCTTTACTCAAGAGGCTTGCAAAGAGGACCCAAATCACCATCATGGGTAGCATAGGCATGTAGAGAATCCAGGTGGTACCTGGTATCTTTGGGAAAATTCATCTCAGAGTAGATCCAGTAGATTCCTTATCCTAACCTGTGGTCATGTTGCTAGTTCTTCTGTGACATATTGAAGAGACAATGAGAAAGTGACAGATCCTCACCTGGGTTCCCCTATATGTGGAGTAAGAGCTACAAGAATAGGGAAGGATAAATGTAAACACCTGGAATTACCAGGATAGAAATTAGCAAGGAGAATGTATTTTGGATGGAGAAATCAATAGACAAAGCAGAAAGTAATTTGAATTACATTAAAATGAAATGTAATGAAAACCAAGACCATTGCAGAATAATTAGTTAGCAGATCTAATGGGGCTGACATCAGAAGACCCAAAACATCTTCATGGTCAACATAGCTTCTATATTCAAGCACCCTACACCCAAGTGAAAGTTCTTGTTATAAATAAATAAAATGGATAAGACTCTGCTAACATTAGTAAAGAAAAAAATCAGGAATAACGGTACTTAAAGATAAGGCAACACTGTATGTCTTATAATATGACATGAAAAAATAGTAGGATGGCATAAAAAATATTGTACTAATAAATTTAACAACCAGGTTAAAATGAACAATATTCGTTTAAAAAAAAAAAGCAGCATTTACAATTGCACTGATCTCAAACACTAACAAAGTAAAGCCAAAAGTTCTCCAACCTAGGCTTCAACAGTCTATGAACAGAGAACTTCCAGATGCTCAACCTGGATTTAGAAAAGGAAGAGGAAGCAGAGACCAAACTGCCAACATCCACTGGATCATAGAAAAAGCAAGAGAATTCCAGAAAAATGTCTGCATTGACTACACTAAAGCCTTTGACTGTGTGGATCACAACAAACTGTGGAACAATATTCAAGAGATGGGAATACCAGACCACCTTACCTGCCTCCTGAGAAATCTGAAGCAACAGATAGAACTGGACATGGAACAACTGACTGCTTCCACAAATCGGGAAAAGAGTATGTCAAGGCTGTGTATTGTCACCCTGCTTATTTAACTTATATGCAGAGTACATCTATGCGAAATGCCAGGCTGGATGAAGCACAAGTTGGAATCAAGATTTCTGGGAGAAATACAATAACCCTGGCTATGCAGATGACACCATCCTTATGGCAGAAAGCGAAGAGAAACTAAAGAGCCTGTTGATGAAAGTG